AAATAAGCCTTGCTTGACACTGTATGTTCAAATACAGCAATGGACCTTAGCGGATGCGCTTTAAAAGCATTTTTGGATGCAGTGCAGGCAGCTTCCTTTAAGGATCACTCCTTGCTGTTCTTCTTCATCACGGCACCAAACTATGCCTAACACCCAGTTCACACCAGTACGGCTTTGAAGCCGTACTACTTCAGTGGGACTTCAAAGACGCCAAATCACTGTAACTTCATGTGTTTGCCAACATCTGTGCGACTTCATTTACACAGATGTCAATGCAAGCAGCACAGAAATTTGCATAAAAAATAGTGCAGGATTCTTTCAGAGTTGCATCGATTTGAACAGTTCTATAGAAGGGTGCGACTTGTCATGCAACTTTGATCTGTCAAAACACGTGACAAGCTGCACCAGTGTTAACCTGGGCTTAATTAGATCAGTGTGTGACATCTGCAGAAGAGGCAGAAAAGAGAAGGTATTGGCAAAGAACCATTCAAGTTAGATTTAAACTGTATTTTCGCAAAGTCCGGAAACACCTCGTATTTATTGAAAAAATATAAGAGCTTCTATGAATTGCAGCGGTGCCAAGCAAACAACCCCCCATAAGGTCAGTGTGCGGAGAGGAAGCCACTTGCACAAAACATCAGCAGAGCTCCGAAGATTGTGGCTTTAGAGAACTCCAGGTTATAAGAAAAAAAAAAAAAAAACCACACACACATGAAACCAAACATATGGGCTTATCCCACGTCCTTCAATGCATTCAGCAAAAGATTTCTGTGTCTTATGATTAACTTTTTCTATAACAGGAGTCGGCAAATGAATGTACTCAAGAGTTTCACTAAGTCTAGGCTCACATATCTGTAGTCGCAACCGTTCCTAATCAACAGAAACGTGCTGCACTTTAGCAGACGTGCAGGGATGCCATTCATCCTTAATGTCACCTCCATGCATTGGCAAAAGGCCCTGGGACTTCTTTTTCCCATGTTTCTGCAGGTACAACAGCCCACTGAATCTGCATGGAGAAGTGTTTGTATGTATATATATCACATACACACAAAATCTTAATGCTACGCAATCAAGAGTGGACAGCCCTCTGTTAATTATGGGTCAGTTCTTACGAGACTTGGGTCAGATATGTCCCAAACCATCTTCAAGCAAAAACCTGGGCACTACTCTTTTCTATCTAGGCACCACCATGCAATACATTGTCAATTAGTCCATTTCCTGTGAATAAATGGAGGGGGTGGCAAAATTTGGTCTTGCACAGGGACTTCTTAGTAAGCCCCTTGCACACTGGGGCATCTTGCTACTTTGCATGCCTCCTGGTATTTTAGTCCGCCTGGCAGACGCAAATGCAGTGTCCAGTCCCAGTGTCTGTAACCTGTCAAGGTCAATGGCAGGATGCATTTGATTGGGGATAAATGCATTACAAAGTTGCACTTGCATTTAGAGCTGAAAGCCCTAAACACAAGTGCTGCTAAGTACAGTGTTCAGCCCTATCCAGCCACAGCCTGCCATAGACTTTGACAGGCTGTAGGCAGTGGGACACTGCACCTGTGCCTGCTGGGTAAACTAAAATGCCAGAAGGCATGCACAAGATGCCTCGTGTGCTGGAGTCCAACTATTTTGGCCGCTGCACACATAATATTCTCCTTTCAGCAAAAAACCTGAAAAATAATCATTAGCAGCTGCACTGGATAACAGGTAGCTACTGGAGCAAGCAATTCTTTAGCTAGCCCCAAATAGTGTAAAAAGTCAATTGTTAGGTGACAGAACAGCTAATTGCTAGAATCAGTGACAAAAGGCTCACGAGTGAAATACCGCAGCTTCCACAAAATCGATGGCCATAAGAAACATTAAACCTCAGATCCTAAACACATTCCGAGTTCTTAAAAACCAAATGCATGGCTGTTTATAGCTTCAATTTCCAGCCATTGGCCCTGAACAAGCATTCAAATCAGAACCCAGTTTATGATTTGGTCAGTGACCAAAGGAACGGAGTGTAAAAAAAAAAAAGCCAACAACAACCAGGTAAAGAGTGTTCATATAAGCAGAGGTCAGCAATGGCAGCCTCATTTTCCTCTCACTACAGGTTAACTCCAGGCAATACATTATTTTGTTTTAATATGTAAAGGAAGGAGGCTGCTCTCCTTTTAGGATGCCTTCTTCATCGCATCATCTCAGGACAGAAAATCAATGGAAAAGCTCTCCAACAGAGACAAAGACAACATTTTTGGCAGAGAAAGGAAGGGGTTTATTGTTCTGGCTTCCTGTTTTTTTGACCAACACCATTTCATTTATGGGTGTCACAGAGGTAGGAAGTGGGGGTAATCTCCCCAATGGGATCACTGACAGGCAATATCCCAAACAGAAAGATCAACTCTTTCCCACCCTACCCAAAACCTAGCTAGCGTTAGCCTTTGAAGTAGTTTAGACATAGGTGAAAGGAAATCTGTAGGACTTCCTTCTAAAAATGCTAGATACCTGGCAGCTATGTTGATGTTTTTTCTTTCATTTGAATCACTAATGTGGAAAAAGTATAGAGAATAAAATATAACACTGTCCTGGGCAACTGAGGAATATTAAAGCCAGGCAACCAGCATTTTCAGAAGGAGGCCAGCAATTTCTTCTGTAATTTCTGAAACTTGTAAAAAAAATAAAAATAAAAAAGCCTAATGACATAATTGCAATGTTAGAACTTACAAAAGGAGACCTTTAGGGAATCTAATGAGAAATCCGTCTCATGAGATTATTCTAAGTATATATTAATGGCAGAAAAAAATTACCCAATGCCATAAAAGGTGGCGACTAAAGATGACATCACATAGCAATACTTTCAGGATGTGACCGAAATGCAGCACTATGGGAAAATAAAAAAAACGGATAGATTTGAATATTAGTGGGTTTTTGCAATATTTAAACCATAGTATGGAGACATCAACCACCTCAATACCGACGTGTGTCATGGTATGGAGGTGTTTATACCCAGGATCATGGTTCCCCAGTGAGAAAAACTGATGATGTTGTTCCTCCCACCGTGTGGTTAGAAACAAGGATTTTGTCACTTCTGATTTGTTTACAAGCTGTTGCCGGCTTACAAAGCAGCAGATCAAACAGATTTCGGTTTGAAAGATCTGGGGTCTCATAGACCCCAGAATTCTCCATAAAGAAGACCCGTCACGGCCCATTCTATCACAAGGGATGTTGTTCATCCTTGTAGTAGCAATAAAATGATAAAAAAAATAAATGTAATAATTAAAAAAAGCAAAGGCAAAAGCAGGGGACGGTCCTGTATGCATATGCAAATGGCAATATCACCACACGTAAGGTATCACCGCAATCATCAGAGTTAGAGTAATAAATCTAGCACCAGACCTCCTGTGTAACTTAAAACTGGTAACCAGTAAAGGTTTTTAAAGTGTTGTCTGCAGCGTAGTTTGTTGCGTTTGTCCTGTTATGTAATGTAATGTCGGTTGTCAATGTTCCACGGGCATGCGCAATTTTAGAAAGTTGCACCTTTGGTATCCATTTACTCCACATAACATCTTTTATATTTTACCAAAATATCAGATATTACGTTGTGTTTCTGTTCACAATTCATGTGACATAAAATGCAACATCCACAATTATATTCTTCAGGGTTTTTGCTTAAATATATATGTTTGGGGGTTCAAAGTGATTTTCTAGCAAAAGGTTAAAAAACAAAAAAGATTTTTACATGTAAGAAAAATGTCAGAATTGGCCCAGTAGGCAAGTGATTAAGAACAACAATTTGTAAGAAGCAATTTTAGGGCTGTTTCACACCAGCAGCAGTGATCACATGGTCGCTGAGAGGACAAAGTGTTAAGCCTGAATTTAACTGAAATGTTACAAGTGACATTTCAATAAATTCTAATCCCATAGCAATATTGTGATTAAGCGTTTTTTTTGCTTCAACCCGCTGTGCTTAAGCCCTGGCTCCGGTGCCTCCCAGCCCTTTAAGGGTTTCAGAAGCCAGGAGGCGGGGCTTTAGGGTAATGTGACTACTGTGATTCGCTGTTACGGCGGTCACATGATCAGGAAAGGTCCAGATCAAAAGAGATCAGAATCTTTCCGTGAGTACCAGACATGTGAGCTGGGAGCGCGCGCTCTCAGCACATATGTTTTTCTTAATTGCACGGCTGCTCGGCATCAAGGCCCAGATGCTGGGAGGCTGCGCACAAATGTGTGCGGCTGGCGCCAAGAGGTTAAAGAATAAATGTGGGCAAAATTATGGTTTTCCCCATGCAGTGGGGCTCTGCCTGCACTGCATGGGTTAAATGGTTGTTTTACCTAATCTGATCCTCCGAGCGCATGGCCAGTCCGTGCAACTCCTGCCCCCCCCCCACCCACTTGCTAGTGGTCCTGTAAATGGGCTGTTCCAGACGTCATCATGCCCATAGATCAGCTCCAGATGTGAGGACGGCAGAAATAGTCCACTGCTGGACATGGGGGAGCGCGTTTTTTTCCAGAGGATCGGCAAGTACAGCTTTTACATGAGCCCCTTGACAATACAAGCACAGCCCTACTGTATGGGAAAATGAAATATTAACTGGAGTTCTGCTTTAACAGAAAAAAAAAAATGCTTTTTTTTTTTTTTAGTACACACCACCACAAAGCTGTGGTATGAACTAACAACAAAGGTAACAAGGGAACCCCCCTTTTCTTTGAGACTAGTGGACAAGGCTGCACACCAACAATGGTATAGATGGGCCCAGGCAATCTAACTGTAAAAGAATGGGTAGTTATATTACAAACAAAACGCTACAACATTTTTTACGACAGAGCTTTGAAAATGTCACCTGTGCCCCTACACCAGAACTTTTTCTCTATGATTTGGCAAAAGTTGTAAGGGTAATGTACTGTTCATAACCAAAAGCTTTATGGAATACAAAATAAATGAATATATATACATACACACACACACACACACACACACACATATACACACACACACAAAAAATTTTGCCTATAGCAAATAGATATACCTTTTTATGTCGAAGATTGGCACTCTCTTCCACGTTGTATGTTTCTTTAAACTGTAGATGCTGGAGGCCATACGCTTGAAGTGTATCTAAAGTTCCTTTGTGACTTGGAAGGGGTCTACAAACAGTCTCTGAATATGTGTTAGCAATTTCACTACTCTGTCTTTTTTTATCTGATGTTTGCACAGGGGCTGTAAAGTAAAGGGGGTTGTAAGGGTCATCCGATTTCAAAAATGCATTCCAAAGTCTTAGATTTTCCTGTCCATCAGCACTACAGTCACTCTCACTGTCTGAATCTGCATTACTATCAGGCCACAATTCTTCATCAGACTGATGTTGATTCTCCGTTTCCAGAGAAAGTGAGTTGCCTCCACTTGTAACACCAGTTTGTAAAGAAGCTGTGAAATTCTGAAGGTTGTAAGGGTCAGCAGAACAAAAGGAATTCCACAGCACATCTTCAGGGACAGAATTTTCACTGTCTGTGGAGGACATTGATCCTTCACTGTCAAATCCATCATCATTATCCTCCTCCTCGTCCTCCCATTCATCGCTGCTTGATGGACTTGTATCATCATCGCTTACGACTGTTCCCAAAATATAGCCAATGTGTTTATTTGTGCAAAAGGTAACTGAAGAAATCGGAATTTCATCTTGCAAATCAGAGTCCAGGTCTTCATTGTTTTGGTCATCTGGACAAGCTGACAGCCCTGTTGGCAAGGCTAATAATACAGACTCCCTGTCTAAGTCACAGGCTACAGGTGCTTCAGAATTTACAGTGGTAAGATTTTGTGGAAGAGGCGAGCACTGCCAATATTCCAGACTGTGATATCCTTGGTCCTTATCAGGACTGGAAGGACATACATGCTGGAGGTTGTCTGACTTGCCCACTTCCTGAACCACAACTGGTTGAGGGTAACAGGAACGATGCTTCACATTCATTTCTAGAAACTCCAGAGCATCTTCCTGTATCAAGCTAATATCTGATAGCTGCTCACATTGGTCATTCATTTTTTTACTTTGGCCTTCAAGACTTTTGGATACAGACAAATCTAAATTGAAAGTAGAATCAGTCTGGTTAGGCGATGAGAAGTGCATAGGATCGGGGAGTTTGGGCACTATATTGTCACTCTGTTCCATTTCACTAGCTTCTTGCTTGACATCAGAAGCGACATCCTCTTGCGTCTTGTTCTGCTGCAGAAATCGAAGTCTCTTGTTCCGAATATGCTGAATCTCAAACTCACTCTGACTTGGGTTGTCCACAGTGGCATCTCCACTTTGCTCATCTTTCCATTGGAACCCAGGGAGCACCCCACCTGCCCTTACATTTAAGATACAGGATATTATACCAAGGGAGGAAGGCTGTGGCAGGGCTCCACTTTTCTCAGGTGCCACTTTGTAGGGTTCATGGTCGTTAGTAAGCGTCTGGTCAGCCGAAGAGAAAGTATGACTGGCAGAGGCAGTTTTATGGCACTCTTCTTGGTTTGGATCTGCACCATCATTCCAGGTCAGTCCTTGCTCCCAGAACACCTTTTGCCAGGCGGACAGTTCCTTGAATGCGGAGTCCTCATCTTTACCAGCAGAGACACCTTTCCACGATTTCAGAAGGTCCAGATCAACTCCGACCTCAGGCGCAAGGAGCTCCTTCAAGGGCCCCAGCTCGTCAAAGCACTCTCCCAGCTCCTCCCAAGAACCGGAGCGCAAGCCCAGAGCTTCAAGCACCTCGGGCAACTCACCAGACCGCACGGACCTGTGAATCAACCAGCCGGAAGGGAGGAAGGACGATGCTTCCCAGGGACCCATCAGATACGACCATGCAGCTCCCACCCGCTCAAAAAGCCGATAGGGGTGCAAGCCGCGCAGAAAGCGGCCTAGCAAGGCCCCGAGTCCCGGGGAGGACCTGTCGTTCTTGTCAGCAAACATCAGGCCGCGCCGACAAAGCTCCAGGATGTTTTCAAAAGGCGAGCGGTAGCCATGAGAGTCTCTGAAGGGGCGGGTGAGCAAGCAACCGGCCGGCCTGAAGGCGCACGCCGGTACTACTCCAACAGCTGGAAAGCTTCGAAGGAAAGACCGTCTAATGGGCGGGGCAATATGACGCAAGGCGGCAGGAACGCGGAAGCTACAAGCTTCCGTCTGAAGTTATCGCGAGACTGTCACAGGCGCGCAAAAAGCGTAGTAATACGATTTTGTTTTCTTTCTTTCAAATACACTTTGGTTTACAGATCTGCATGTGTGCCATTCAAAATCTTTACTTTTCCCTGGTAATCACTGAAACTAGAGTTCCCATTGGAAGATTTTCCCTCTTGTCCTGTTGTGGTGCCAACTTAAAGCGACATTAAACCTTCATTTTCTTTTAAACTAAAATAACGAACATGGTATACTTACCTGCTCTAGGCAATGGTATTGCACTTTAAATTGGTAGTACACTCTTCTTTAATAACTTTATAATAACACCTGTAGGTAAAACTAAGATCTAAATGGGAACGGTTTAGAAGGTGTTAGCCCCTTTCCAGATTTGCCGCATGCGCTCTGAAGGAACAGCATACCCATGCCGTTCCTTCAAAGCACTGCCATAGCCCTGGACTCCCGCACGCATGCACGGGAGTGTTGTCATCGTGGCTCAGCCAGAGCTCGCAAACCTGGAAGGAAGATCGGGGGAAAATTAAGGTCCTGGGGAGCTGTGACAGTTCTTGGGTGGAGGGCTTTGTTTCAGGGTAAGTCCTTCATAATGTGCTACTATGCAATGCATACTAGCACAGTATGCCTTTACCTTGCAGGGTTTTTTATTCTTTTTTTTTATACGGTGTACTATCACTTTCAAATTTAGGATCACCACAACAAATAGGGTGAATCTCCACAGGGGAAACGGGCAGAAATAAATATCCTTACGGGTATGCTAATCTATAAAGTTATTCCCTAAATTACACTTTGAGCCTAGGCTCACACTGCCACAACTTGGCAAATCACGTGATTCGCACAGGAATCGTAACACATTCCAGTGCAAATCACATGCAATGTCTGTGTGGTGCGATTTGAGCCATACATTTCATATGACCCTTTTTGATCTGATTTAGACAATCACACTGCAGTTTGCTGATCTTCAGGTATAATCTTAATTGCGTGCTTACATTAGTCCAGCTTGGACCAATATAAATATACATATTCCATACCTGAGGGGCCCCTGGGGACGCTTGTAGTAATCAATGCTACTACAGTGATGGCTGCAATCTTACAGGTCCTGTGTCAAATGGTTTCCCCTTTGCACACAGACCACAGAGGCTAGCTTGCTTGGCTCTGCCACCATTCACAGAACGTTTGCTGTTATGTTCATTGAAGGACACAGCTCTTCTTAGTCTTGACTATAGATTTATAGCGCCACCTACAGGAGTAGGACACTGGGTAGAAAAGAGCACAGCACCACCTACTGGCAGTTCCATCTGGTATACAACCCTCTAGTTCCTTTGCCTAGTGTTCAGGATTAAGAACCTGGTTCCCTGCTTGGACCTGTGGTTCCATAATTTTTCTGGGATTTTTTTCTGGGATTTTTTTCTGCAGAGATAGTCAATCAACAGCTGGGCAACAGGCTGGATAATAAAGATCTAGTGGTCACCCCAGTCTGGCCAACGAGCGCACGCAGATGTTCAGTGAAGCACTGGGTTGGTCCCACCAAACCCCATCCTGGACTGTGGCGGCCTGAGAGTTAAACGTTTTACAGGGACACATATGACTAGGCACCGGAGTCTGTCTCACAGTGTTACCCTGGCTGACAGTCCCCCACTTGAGTGGAGAGGAGGATCTGTCATAGGAGCCTTTCCGGCATGCTCCGCTGGACTGGTAAGTAGATGCCCCTTCCCAGGACGCAGTGTAGGGTGCAGGTGCTCCCTGAGGTGGTCAGTCCTGCAGGGTTCTCTCCTCCCCCCTGGCATCCATCCTGTCCTCCCTGACTCAGCTTCCCTAGGTCACCTTATCCCCTTGTCCTCTCACCTAGAGGTTTCTTCTTGTCCTTTCCAGGTGGGAGTGCCTGGAGCTTTAGTTCCACTAAGTATTCGTGGTTGAAATGGGGGGCTTTCTCTATCCCTCTGAGGGCCCTGTGTGGGTTTTCCCCCATCCTGAGGTCTAGGAGGCTACATGGCAGCCCATATGTATTCTTCATTGACCAGTGGCCATTTTCCCAGAGTAAAGGCAGCCATTTTGCAGGTGATCTGGTGGACAGGTTTTTGAGGACAGGTTGGGTGGCCATTTTGCGTTGGACCATTCCCACATGCATGGGAGCTGGCTGGGGATATGCATGGTATGCATTTTTTTGTAGCCACATGGCAGTGGCCATCATGCTTGAGCCCAACTTCTCAGAAGGTGTGCTGGCCAGTCCTCCGGACATGACTTGATAGGCAAATTACTTTGGAACTCAACGACTGGAGGATCGAGCTGGCACTTTCTAACAAATGGCATCCATCCTCTGGCAGCATCCATCTTAGACAGCACCCATCCACAGTGCTTCCTTTTAGCAGGTGGTGAGTCCTATATGGGGTGCCTCCCTTTCTGCTGCTGGTGGTGGGTTTGTTGTTGCCCTCCTTACTAGGACAACCTCTTCTACAGCGGTGCCTCTCCTGGCTGGGTGTCAAGGTCCTACCTTTCCCCAGAGGTCATGCTGCTCCATTTGCTGGCATCCATCTTGGGTTTCTGCAAAGCATGGTGGGAGTCTTTTATGCCTTCAGACCTCTGCGGTCCATCCCCCAGAGGGGTGTGGCTGATCACATTTAAGCCTGTTGTCTGCATTTGCTCTTTGCATTTGTGTCTTATATGTTTGTGTTGCAGCAAGCTCTGTTTCTACTCTCGTGGCTCTCCTGGAAATTGGCTCGGCTTTGACTAGACTATTCTCAGCGTTATCCCTTTCTCTGACCCTCCGTTGCTGAACACGGCTTGTGACTTGTATATTCTTGTCTACCGTTCTGTACTGTCTGTCCCGCTGTTATCGACCCGGCCTGCCCGACTACGCTACTGTCTTCTGGTTCCTACCAGCTATTCGCCATTGGCGGCGGCCATTACCACAGCTGGGGTGACTCGGGGGCTGTGACCTGGTCCCTGGCTGCGTCAAGTCCATCCCCACCATCAGGGGCCCTGGTGAAGGGCAGCCTGGGGCTTAGACTCCGCGCCCTGAGGCACTCCGGTCTGTGAGCGGTGGTTGTCGTCAGTCAGTGCGTGACCCTGCCATTAGGCCTGCCTGTCCGTTCCACAGCTCCTGCCCTGACACTGGGATGCATATGGAGTCTCAGGCACACTATTCTTCTCATGATCCCCTTTTGGAGACAGCGGGTTCCTCAGGGTCCTTTATGCCCCTGAATGTACTGTCAGCAGTCCTGGAGTCATTTGTCTCCTGGGTGGAGGTGGCATTCAAGCACAAGGCGAGCAGGAAGCACCTCTGCTGTCACCTTCATTTTCGAGCATTCTTGAGCCTGGGTTGGGCTCTGCTACCGCAGGAAAGGCGCTTTTTCTACAGGCCCTGTTTATGTACCCCCTATTTCCTCAAACAGTGAGGACAAGTCCTCTGCCTTTGTAGCACAGGAGAAAGAGCTGGTGACAGCATGATTACTTTGGTGCGAAAGACATTAAAAATTGAGGACTCCGCTGGGGCAGCCATTGAAGTGCTTGCCCCCTTTGGTACACTCAAACCACATAGGTCCACTAAGGTTTTTTCTTGTCCCACATACTTTGATCAATTTGTCTACAAAGCTTGGGAATGTATGAAGTGGCCTTTTATGGTTCCGAAGCGTTTTGAGGAACATTACCCTTTGAGGAGGCTGTTTTGAATAAATTTACTTCACCTCCCATGGTGTAAACTCCCATTTCTAAGTTGAATAATGCAACCGTGATACCGGTAGAGGAGTTTCCATCTTTTAGGAATCCTGTGGACCACAGGGCAGAATCAATCGCTTCCTCTATGTCTACCATTGTATGGTCGGGGTGGCAACCTGTGTTGGCCACAGCCCTGGTGTCTCAGATGTTTATCGAATGGGCTGTTTCTGCAGCAAGGTTTGAACACCAGACATGTGGATCAGGTGTATATGGATCTGGCAGACCAGTTGGTCCAGGGCCTGAAGTATGTATGTTATGCATCCTTAGACGCCGCTTCGCTCCTTCTAAGCTCTCTGTTTTGGCTGTAGTTCTTCAGCTCAAATGCTGGGCTGCTGACCAGGCTTCTGAAAAGGCCCTGGCAGACCTGCCCTTCCAGAGGGATCGTCACTTTGGTGTTACCCTTCTCAAATTCCTTGAGAGCCTCACGGGTGGCAAGAGTACATTCCACCTGCAGGCCTTCCGTCACTGCACACAAGAGACTTTTTCACTCCTCTGGCTCCTCTGACAAGGGCTCCAAGCTTTCCCATGCCCCTGTGGCACCAGTGTTCTCACAATTCGACATTCCTGGAGGAGTCTTACACAATTAATGTGATACTAAAACTTTTTTTTTTTTTGTTATAAAATACCAAACGTCATACCTACCTGCTCTGTGCAGTAGTTTTGCACACAGCTGCCCCGATCCTCTTCTTTTTGGGTCCCCCTCCGGCGCTCCTGGCTTCTCCCCCACAAGCAATGCCCCCATAGAATGCTGCTTGCCCTGGGACACCGCTCCCAATTCGTTTCTCTATGCGTCCATAAGACGAAGAGCCACGGCTCTCCCCCCCCGCTCTCTCCCTATTGGCTTCCTGGCAGTGACTGACAGCAGCGGGAGCCAATGGGCTCCCACTGCTGTCTCAGCCAATGAGGAGGGAGAGTCCCCATACAGCCAAGGCTATTGTAAACATTGCTAGATTGGAGGGGGGACAGGTAAGGGGAGAAGAGTCTGTCTAACAGAGGAACGTTTCATTAAAATAATCAGGGACTGCTTAACTACCAGCAACTGAACACTTTGGTATATAGTGCAGGAGGAG